CAGTCCCACTCATTTTCTTGTAAGTTGCAAACTAATTCTTGTGTGGATATATGTGGAAAGTAGTACCAGAATCAAGAACCCAAGAATTCTGCTCATGACTAGAACTCACAGCATAGACTTCGCCTACATAGTCACTATCATTAGAGTTATTGCCAGTGTCAACAATATTTGCCGAATTATCTATTTTTTGCTTCCCTCTTTTCTCCTTCAGCTTAGGACGATCTCTCTTGTAGTGACCTTGCTCCCTCCACTCATAACAGTGTTGCTTCCTTCATCTACATTTGATCTAGCAGTTGACTTTTTCCTGTTAAAGTCCTTTTGTTGTGTTCTTCCTGTAATCACAAGATCCTCGCCCTCAATTCTGCTGCCTGGAAAGCTCCTTTTTAACTCTTTAGATTTTAGTGCATTACTAACATCTTCCAGTGAAATGCTGTCTTTCACATATAGCAACATATCAGCAAAAATATCATAAGACGGTAGTAAAGAACATAACACAATCAAGGACTGATCCTCGCTCTCAATTTTGATATTTGCATTCTTCAGGTCCATTATAATTGAATTAAACTCATTAATGTGAGTTTTAACAGGTGTGCCTTCATTCATACGGAGATTGTACGACCTTTTTTAAGGTAGAGGCGGTTTGTTAGTGATTCTTAGAATATAGATCTTCTAGCTTCTTCCATGTTGTTGCTGCAGAAGTTTCTTCAGCAATTTTCCGAAGAACGTTATCTTTAAAGTTCATGAAGATCGCACTCAAAGCCCTCTCCTTCAGGTCTGCCTTTTCTATCTCTTTCATCTCTTCAAGAAAATCTTCATCAATTGCCTTCCATAACCCTTGTAACACCAAGGACGATTTCATCCTAATCTTCCATAGACTGAAATTAGAACCCCCATCAAATTTTGCTATTTCGTACTTTGTTGAAGAAGATGAAGACATCTTAACCCTAGATTATATGTAGAAACTCGAACATTGCTCTGATACCAATTATTACGAATATCATGGGTTAACTAGCACACAATCACATACAAAGCAAATAGAGGAGAAAAATCAACACAAGGATTTAACGAGGTTGTGCCAAGCCTAATCCTTGAGGCAAAAGCAGAGAGAGTTTTTCACTATGAATGAGAAGAAAAGCACAGTATAATCTCTAGGATCCCCAACTACAACCCCTATATATAGATCCTAAAAGGTCCCAAACCTATAAGAGAAAGGTTTCCCAATTTGACAAGGACAATAGCATTTCCTTTCCCAAATCTATTAGGACAATGAGTTTTCCTAAACCTATAGGGATTATGGGTTTCCTAAAGATATAAGGAAATAATTCAAGCCACAAATAACATAACTAGTAAAAGAAAAGAAGGTATTTGGACTTATTTAATTGTGAGTACTAATTTCTAGTTATATTAACTTGCAACACGGTGTTAGTAATAAAGTGAAAGAAAGAAAAAGAAAAAAAATGAAGCTAAATTGTTGCCCTAAATCGCGCATGCAAGTATACGCGGTCAATCAAGTAATAAAGAGTGAGTAGATTATCGTTTTCACGAGAAGTTATGATCAATTATCAACTAAATCAAGCAAATTCGAATTTATCGAGTCAAGAACAATTTCAAGGTGATTTTTGTTTGATTAGTTCTACAAACTAAAGTTATGATTAAAAGAAGAACCAATTAACTAGCACACTTAGCACGAAAGGTTGAATTCAGTGAGAATAATATTCCGGGGTTATGGTTATGTAACAGTCCTGTCGAATTCTTCAATTAACTTGACTTATTAATTTATCTGGGTTATTAACGTGCAAGGACAATAATACTCGCAGAAATTTGACAACGTCTACTCGCCTATTCAATTTATTCTAAACACTATATTCCTAGGAGATTAGAGATAAGAACGCATCAATAATCTCTTGCACAATTGGCTAATCACGGCAAATAGGTATATTTCTATCTGTATTCGCAAATTAATTCCCTAATGACTAGGTTCAAGATCGCACTTTGTTCAATCCTATTGCAATCAAGAATTACCTCTTTCAAGTTCAAATCAAGATTCATATATAGTATTCACTTTTAGCTATGCAGTAAAATAATTAGGTTCAAGATATAAATAAATAACTCAATCTAATAAATTAAATCGTCAAATCAATATCCGAATATCAACATTCATGTAAAACCATAATCCTAGAATAAAGGAGTTTAGCCACGCATAGTCATGGTAGCAATCTCAATTAATTCCCAAGAATACATAAAAATCAATAATCGAAGGGGAAAAGAAGAACTCAAGATGAATTCCACGATTTTCGAACTTTATTATGGCTTTTCTCTGCTTCCAAGTGTGTTCTTGCCACCCAAAGGTCTTCTCTCCCTTCAAAAAGTGGCTAACTATCATATTTATATGGTTTAGGGTTCAGTTGGGGCGAATTTTGCTTCTCCTAATTCGGATTGGAGAAGCTGATTTTTTCTGCTTCGGTCCCGGTCTGGCGAAGCGAACCTCCCTAATGAACATATTTTTACTTCAAAAGTAGTGTGAACTCCCGTAACTCACAAAAGAATTAATACTCAAACACACTGAAAATATACACTTTTCACCCTTTATCATAAACCTGCCATGAAAAGTAAAGTTAGCGAATGTGGAAGGCCGCTTGGGCTAGATATGAAAAACATAGTTAGAAATTGTGGAGAGCAGGTATCGAACTTATGACTACAAACTTCAAAGTTAATTTGACCAGCCTTCACTGCTGGGCTACCTATCTTGAATTTGATTATGGGTGTTCAAATAAATTAGCATATTATAGTAAGTTTTATCTTTTATTAATTACTATACGTTTATCTCCCATTTGTTTTTTATTTCTCCTCCACGTAACTTTATTTTAATTACCATTTCATTTTCCAATTTTAACATGATTTGCCTGAATAATCTATAAAATAAACTGCAAATAAAAATGCATATCAACTGTCAACACATACGATTTTTCACGATTTCATTTGCAACTCAAAAAGCTAAAAGAATGAACCGTTAATAAAAATACTTAAGAATTTCATCAAATAAGTTTAAGACCTCTTAAAATTTAGCTTTAGGCCTATGAGCTTGTTAAGCCGCCCGACTTGGCTATGCATAGCTCGCCCTGAGTGCTTTAGTTGCTGAGGTTGGTTTTTTGTTGTTTTGCTGCTGATATTTGGTGTTTAGGAATGTCAATGGAACGGTGGGGTGGGGGCAATGCATGTTTATACATATACAGGATATTGCAGGTGTAAACATATTCGAGTGCGGGTTGAGGAGGGGCGGATCAGCATAAAAACAAATTTAATATTTTGCGAATATAGTGCGAGCGCGGGTTAAGATTTAAAATTTTCAAACAGTTACAACTTTTCAGCTATTGATCACTAATATTCAACCAAGAAATATTTGTTTTTCAGTTTTGGACTTGTAATTCCGTTCTCCTATGAATTGGATCATTGTAGTCTCAAAATGATTTACTAGTTTATAAAATTGATTTATAGTGGATGTCTATTCAGTCGATTGTAAATACAAATGCTTCTGCTACTTGCATCACTGGGAACAAAAATTTGTTTTATATTTTGCTTACTGCTTCAAAGTCTCACTTTTAACTATGTATAATTTATTTTTAGCCAAGTTCATTATATGATCTCATTACATTGTACGATCTGAATTATTAGAATGACATACTAATAGCATTTGGTAGGATTTGTAGTTATACCCTGGTTATGCTATTCTTTTTTTTGGTTAAACCTAGAGCTATTCAAAATTTGACTTCCTTGGTTTGCCAAATTGGAAAATGGAAATTTTTAGATTAGCATTGACATATATAAATATAATTGAAAAGACAAAAATAAATTAAAATAAAATAAGACAAATTGGAAGAAGTAAAAAAAAGACAAATTGGAAGAAGTAAAAAAAGATGAAACTTTTGCAGGGCGGGGCGGGGTGGATGTGGGTGAAAAGCAATATGGGGCGCAGTGGACTGAACTTTTGTGGGTTAAGATAGAACCCGCACCGCATTGTCCCGCACAAATTGGTGAATAAAATTTTTTACCTACCAATATATATATATATATATATATATATATATATATATATATATATATGTATGTATGTTAGACCAGCTGCTTAAGCCTAGATTACTTTTGCACTTTTTGCGTCCGCCAGATAAAACATTTGATTTTATTACTAATAACTAAAAGAAAGCCCTCTTATCCCACAAAACACATAGATTAGTAAGGTTTCGGAGAGAAATGTACGTTATAGCCACAATATTATAATTAAACATTTCGCCGCATAGCATAAAGTGGGAAAATGAAGCATTTTCTTTTCTATCGCTACTATTAGAAATTGAAGAATATCAGTGTGAACTATTGTATACTATAAACTTACTAAATTCCAAAACTTTACATCAAAAAATTGGTATAAGTCTGACTATTGTAGAGTTCACAAGGGATACATGTAATGTCTAAACGTACTTTTTACATAGAAAAATAATTTCAAAAGGTAACATCTGGAAATTCAAGTTGTTTAAGGTATAGAATTTAATATTCCAAGAAATTCAAGAAGAGCCAAAGGACTATAAGACATAGGTACAAACAGTATAGCAGTATATACTTTTATGAACACTCTTTAAATAATTGTTTTATACCGAATGTATGTAGTACAAATAACATAATATTATATAATTAAACATTTTAAAAAGGAACTAGATCTCCTAAATTACATTGGTTAGCTAGTAACCGAACAGTGGTAAGGAATTTATAAATTAAATAAAAAAGATGGTAGTAAAATATTTTGAACATGGGCCTATAAATACTCTCTATTACTCTCTTTATAAAGGCTAAAAAGAGACTTTGCCTTGTCTGTTCTCATTCATTCCCAAAATCCTTCTTCTTCTGCTTCTTCCTTTCATTCCTTTTGGTCCAATCAATCATTATTCATATATAAATATATTCACAGATATATACATATATATATATATAGAGAGAGAGGAGAAATAAAACAAAGAAAAAAAAAAAATGGAGGAAGAGAGAAGATCGTCAAAGTTTAAGAGGATTTGTGTTTACTGTGGTAGCAGTTCTGGGAAGAAACCTACATATCAAGAAGCTGCTATTGAATTGGGAAAACAACTGGTAAAAAATCATAGTTTCCCCATTCTTTCTCTCTTCTTCTTCTTCTTCAGAAGCAGAAAGTTTTGTTCTTTTCATGGATAAAGTCTGTTATCCATTGTCTTTTTAAATAAGTAGTAGTAGTACTATATTGTTATTAAATGTAAGCTGAAAATGGCTGAAATTACGAACCCGTTTCGTGTTTTGAGTTTCTCTTCCTTTTTCTGTCACTATTCTGACAAAATTTTCAACATGGGGTTTTCTATTCATTCTGTTTTATGTTCATATTGATCAGTTTTTCTTTGATTTTTTCTCAAAGAACAGAACTTTTTTACTTTTGTTTTGGCATGAGAAAGAGAAAGAAATGGGCGTGTGTGTGTGTGTGTAGTGGTGGAGAAAGAATGGAGGAAGAATTGCAAGCTGTAACCTGGCTGTCAGTTGAGCAGCATTCTTGCATGATCTTAGTTTATGGGGGCACTCCTTTAATTTAAAAAAAAAAAGAAAAAAAGAAGAGTTTCTGCCTTTCGATGAGGAACCAAACGTGCCACCTTGGTATCATGACCCCCTTTCAAGCGTGTTCTCTTCTTTAGGCTAAATTTAACCCAACTCATCCTTTTTCATGATTTTTATGTTTTTTGGTGGTTTAAGTGAAATATGCATAAAATTTCTGATATTAACATTTGCATGTGGGGTTTTTTTTTTCTAGAAAAAGTATACTTTTGGCGCATATGTTCAGCTGATTCTAAGTTTCATGCTTATTTCTTGGTTGTGTTGTGTGTAAATTTTGTGCTAGTAGTAGCAGTAACTTTTTTTTTTGTGATGATGATGGGCTATTGAAATGGGTTTCTGACACGTGTTCATGGTTTTGATTTTATCAATGTGTATTTGAAGGTGGAGAGAGGGATTGATTTGGTGTATGGAGGTGGAAGCGTGGGTCTGATGGGTCTTGTTTCTCAGGCAGTTCATGATGGTGGGCGCCATGTTCTAGGGTAATTCCTCTCTCTCTGTTTCTCTCTCTAACACACATACAGAGGAAAAAGGTTGTGATGTTTGAAAATAATCTTAGCTAAGGGGGTTATTGAAAATAATAAAATGCTTATTTAATGAAATGTCTTCTTCAAAACTACCCAAAGGCAGACATCATTGGATCAAATGCTGCTTTCTTGATAATTAAAGTAGTGTTGTGCTGTTGCATTTTTAGGCCTTTTTGCACACAGTATAAGTAAAAAAGGGTTCCCATTGAAGAAACAAACACTAATCTCCCCTTGTTCCACTGATAGTGAACAGCTTCTTAACACGTGAAAGGTACTCTAATATGTTTTTATAGTATAATAGAAATCTTCCAAAAGTGTCTTTTGTGGTATGGCCTTAGAGCTTTTTGGGCAGTTATCAGTAAATATAAAAAAAAATGCAAAAATCCATTTTGGTCCGTGGAAATGTCAGTCACACTGGAACCTCTAGTCAGAAAGCAAATGAAAAAAGGGAGTGTATAAAGTTAAAAGCCTTTTACGCACTGATTGAAGCATTTCCAAATCTTTATAAAGACAACGTTTGAATTGTGTTCTACTGTAGACAGTTTTCTGGACTTGTGCTTTCTACCTCATATTTTTACCCCACAGTGAACATGTGCAGAGCTTTCTTTTTGGGCAAGATAATACTATTGCTTTCATTTTGTCATATTCTTACTATCTTTAATCTATGTTTATGGATTTTTGGAACTTGCAGAGTGATTCCAAGGACCCTCATGCCTAGAGAGGTACTACTCATACTGAACTCTGAAATCATAGTATCATCTTTTGTTTTGCAGGATTAATACATGACTTATCAGCTAATTATTCCCACCAATTTGATTCTTATGAGACATGTTTTCAACTTGAACAATTATAATTGAGCTTCTTGCTCTATATATTCCTGTCATCCAAAAAGTACTTCAGTTTATATATGCACAAAGGAATATCTGTTTTTCTTTCTTTTCAAACATTAATCTTGAGTCATTCATGTCTAAGTATATACTGCATTTGCTAACAGATAACTGGTGAAACGATCGGAGAAGTGAGAGCAGTTTCTGGCATGCATCAAAGAAAAGCTGAAATGGCCAGGCAAGCTGATGCCTTCATTGCCCTCCCCGGTACATGATTAATAACACTTACGTCTTTTATCTGAATGTAATTAATGTTTTAGCATGCTGCAAAATCTGATTCTGCATATCCTAATTTCTAGTTTTTCTAAATTTCCAGGTGGTTATGGAACACTTGAAGAACTTCTTGAAGTCATCACATGGGCTCAGCTTGGAATCCACCGTAAACCAGTGAGAAATCTGTCCTTAGTTCATACTACTTTACATGAAATTTTCATTAGAAACCAGTACATAGAATATATGTTCCATGCATAACTCTTAAGTAATGGAAATAGGCTTATTGATAGGTGTAGATTGAAAAATTCTTTTATGTAAGCATATTGATGCAGCCCTAGCGTCATGCTCATGCCATGACGCGAAATATTCGGCAAATAAGTGTGTAAAAGTAATCAAGGTTTTGATGAAAACTTGCTTTGTAACGATGTTATAGCATGAAAATTATCTCTTTTGACCAAAAAATCATTCGTCCATGCAATCATTATCCAAAGAACTCTAAAGGGAATTTTTTTTCTTTTCAACAAATGTGTAGTCATTTTCATCTATCTTTGAGAATTTCAACTCCTATATGTCTTTAGTATTAAATCAGATGGAGAAATCTTAAACCAAGTAAAAGAAAATCGTCCACATCTTGACATTATTTGTCACCTTGTTTCTCAAGATACCTTCTCTTCACATTCTTAAGTACTTTTTATAAAATAATTAAATCTTTCAGCTGGGATTTTCCTTTCAAGTCAACATTCCTTATCAAATATAGTAAGAATGAGATTAGGAGAGGTATCGATGCACGTGATCCTTAATATTTGGTTCACATGGAAAGATAATACAAGGTCTTTGAGTTCTGATCTCTAATCATGACAAGAAAGAGCTTATAAAGCCATTAGAAAAAGTAGGAAATCTTAGTCAAAAGAAGGTATTTTTTGTTTTGATATTATAAGTAATCTCTAACTAGTAATTTAATAATCTAATGTAATAATAATGCAGGTGGGCCTGTTGAATGTTGAGGGTTACTATAATTCCTTATTATCTTTCCTTGATAAGGCCGTGGATGAAGGCTTCATCTCTCCAACAGCACGTCGCATAATCGTGTCTGCTCCGACAGCCCAACAGTTGGTCAGAGAACTTGAGGTAATTAAAGACGGAGTATGTTTTTTCATATAACACTAATTTTTCTTCATAGTTTCTAGTAAAATAAGCATTTGTAACATTCTCATTTTTTTCGTATACTACAAATTTAAAACTCGTTTAGATTTTGGAATTTATGCAGTTCAAACCTGCAAAAGGGCTCCACACTTAGAGTTGCCCTTTTCAGTTTTGTCTTAAATATTTATATTGCTTTGATCAAACATGACTGGACAAAAGGAAACATTTTTTTTGGTTGATTTGTTCAGCTTTGATCACTTTAATGTCGGCTGACATTTTCATTTTTTAATATTCAAAATAGTACTTGGATAAAGAAAGATTTTAGTGTAGGAATTTGTTCTAACATATTTTTTTAATTTAATTCCTCTTCTCACAGGAACATGTACCAGAGACCGACGAAATCACATCAAAGTTGATCTGGGAAGAAGAAGTTCAAAGATTTAATTACACACCGACTGAATCTGGGGTTCCTTCGTAAAATATGCTTTTCTTTGGAATTTAGGAATTTCAGTATATATACAGTATATACGGTGATGTTGCCGTAGGTTTGTCGCAGTAGAATGTTTTTTGTGGGGGTTGATGTTGATCCAATGCTCTTAGAAATGACTCAGAGTTGCAATATACATATTTTGAAGAAGTAAAAAGAAAAAGGAAGGAAATATTAGTTTTCTTTTTCTTTTGTGGATCTGTAGTAGCTAGGTCATGTTTGTTCAAGCATTATGATTTCGTCTATGTTTATTGGTGTGTCCCTTTTCGGAGAGCCAATGACTTACTTTGAATGTATTCCACTAACATGCTTATACAAAAAAAAAAAAAAAGACCGGAAAGGCAAAGTTCTCTCTAGTGGTATTTATAAGCTTGAATAGAAGAAACAATTTTTTTTTTTTCTGGTTAAAGGGAATTTTTTTTTTGATAACACTAAGGCGTTACAGTAGAACTATTAGCTACATAATCACTATCATAGATAGCGAGTACACAAAGGTTTCCAAGATTTGCCAACTTGATACACATAGACGTAGACCTCTTTGTGTGTTTGAACTGTTGCTAACACAGACTTCTAGGGAGATGCTATGACTGATAGGTAACACTTGTGGCTTGCTTGAGAAATTTTATTTTGGGTGAGACTCACCCAACAATAGTTGTATGAGGCCACCTTCTTCATTTGACAAGTGTAGTTGTGGGGCCCATTTTCTGATATTGGTTTAATTTGAATAAACAAAGAAGAAAAAGTAATTTTCTTATTGATGCGGATCCCACTTTCACTCATATGGAGTATTCCATAAACATGTAGCTAAATAGATATTGTACCAGAGAAATGGAAGGAAAACGTGAAAGCCATTTCCCTCTTTAATTACCATAATTTGCTCACCACCAAACGTAATATTTATATTTTTGTATATATATGTCTTCTTCGTTTTCATTCTAAAAGTTTGTATCTTTTCAAAATCATCTTAAGTTACCAACGCTTTAAAAATGAGCCTTTAGAAGTTGTTCGTTGATATAAATATAAAATATAATATACATAATTTGTTAATAAAATTCTCCTCATTTGGTACAAAAATACAAAAATGTGGTCACTAGCATTGAGTACTTTTGCATATTGATTCATTTACTACCATATTTAACCTGTCATTATCAAAATATTGTTTACTATAAAATTAAAATAAGATTAATATAAATTTTTATCACTAAGAGGATATTTGAATTGACTTAAAAGCTTATCAATTCAACTTAAAGCACTTTATGGCTTATTTTAGTGTTTGATAAACTTAAAAAATAATTTTGAGTCAAATGTTTTTAAGCTAAAATAACTTAAAACAAGCTAAAATTTATAATTTGGTCATTTCAACTTATTACTTTTTTGCTTAAAAGCATTTGCGATTTGCCCAAATAATTTAACTTTTTACCCTAATTAAGATATTACCTCCATGTAAAACTCGTGAAGGCTAAAGCCAGCCATTTCTATTGATTATAGAGGGTCGAAATTGGTATACACTAATTGCTTCTCTATTTGTTTATTGTTTCGTTTTAGGTTTTCTTAATAAATTTTAGTTTTTAGTTTTCGCAATTCGAATTTTCATGCATATTTCCCTTAACGCCATGTGCCTGAATAAATTATTCTAAGATTGTGCCGTTCTTTAATGAAATTCAGTTTACATAAAAATAATATTTTGGGTAAACTAGCATAATTACAATTCAAAGAGATAATTATAACCGAGCTAGTATATGTGTTGTTACCAAAACATATTTCGCAACTTGAAGTTGAAGGCGTGCTAAGGACTTGGATGTATACTTGGAAATCAACAATTATTTTCTTAATTATATCAAATTTTTGCTCTAGTTAAGCATTTTAGTTACAAAGTAAAGTCAAATAATTATTACTGTAGCTTATTTGAATAACTAAGTAATTCAGAATGGTTTTTAGATTAATACCCATGACTCCATGAGAATAGTGTTTAAGGATTTTTTGTTTTTGTTTTGGGAGTTGTTTCAAGTGGAAAAAACGAAAGGCTCAAAACTCTTCAATTCAATTCAAATGGAGACCGTGGCTTTTACCTAGGAGTACATAGTATAATATACTTTTATTTTTATTTATATCTAATCCTTTAGTTGTGGCCCACATTCCATTAATTCACCTTTTTTCTTTATCTATTACTCTATGTCACTAAATGGGCCCACAACTACACTTGTCAAATGTAGAAGGTAGCCTCATACAACTATTATTGGGTGAGTCTCTCCCAAAATAAAATTTCTCGGCTTGCTTGTTTTCTTCCTTGGCCAAAACGTGAGCTACTTTGTTTCCTTGGCGGAAGCTAGGCCGGATCACTAGACTCCCCAACCTCCTCAAGTGGTACTTGCGAGAGTCAATAACACACCTCCTCAAGTGGTACTTGCAAGAGTCAATAACACTTTGATAAGTAGGGTGTTTTGTTCCAAACAACGAACTCAAAATCCAACTACCAGAGAACCCATAATAACAAGTAAGGTTGTATTGTGGTCCGGGCCCAGCCCGGGACCGCGAGACCATGGGCTAAACAGGCTAAACGGGCCGGTCCAAATGGTCTGGTCCCAAGCGGTCCTAGGAGCCCACTGTGGGCCGGTCCTCCATGATGAGAGCGCGAGCCCGGGACCGTTTTGCCCAGGACCGGCTGGCGGGCTGGTTCAACCGGGCCTAACGGGCCCAACGACTATTTTTCAAAAAAAAAATTTTTTTTTTTTAAATTGGCCAACGGTTGGAAGTTTAAAAACTAGCCGTTGGCCTGCCAATTTAGCCGTTTGGCTTTTTAAAAAATAGCCATTTGGCCCCCAAACTTTATTTTAACCCCAAACTTTTTATAATTATACTTTTTCTCTGTTCTCAACTATAAATACCCCCTCATTCTTTCATTTTTACTCACAAAATCATCAATCTCTCTCTAATTTTCTTCTATAATTGCTTACTTTATTATTGCAATTTGTGAAAAATTGTGAAGTTGGTGAATTGAAGTATTCAAGTCTTCAACGATATACAATTTTCAAGAAGTTGTTCGTCAATTCGGTAAACTCGTTCCAACTCTTAAGTTTTAATATTATAGTTTTGTTTGTTTTAGTTTGTATAATTATAATTAATATGGCCTTTTCTTTGAAAAAAAATATTTGGTGGTAAGGGAAAATCTAAAATTGGTGAATCTAGTGGCCAAGCTACTACTCCTCCCCCGGCTCCCCGACCCAGACCTGTTACCCATTTTCCTCCACCTATTATTCTTGATAGTGATAACCCTTATTTTCAATTTACCAATAGTCAATTTTGCCATGATATTGCACCAGGTCAACAATTAAATGATGAATATATGAATGCTCTTTATAATAATACAACTATCGATGAAAATGATGAGGAAAATGATAATTTAGATGAAACATAACCGGATTTAGATGATACACCTACTAGTCCTGTTGTTAACCCAACTGATAATAATCCAAATGATGCCCCGCCTGACCCTCATGTAGTAACCCCTACTTTTAATAGACAACCTTCTAAACGGCAAGAAACATCTCTTGTTTGGCACTTTTGTACTCAACTAAGAAATCAAAATAAGGCTAAGTGTAAAACTTGTGGGACTTTGATGTCTCATAAATTTACTGGAGACCGTAGCGGTACGGGTACTTTGACTAGACACATAAAGACACACCCTAAAGATAAAGCTAGATTTTTACAAATGAAAGCTGCGCAAGAGGGGACAAGTGTAGGTACTCAGGTTAACTCTAGTACCGGGTCAAATCTAGTTCAACCGGGAATTAACACTGTTACCGGTGACATTTTATATTACGATCCAAATAAAGATCGTGAAGAATTGGCAAAAATAGTTACTGTTATGTGCTTACCCTATTGTTTTCCCTCTAACCCTCACTTTGTGCATTATATTAGAAAAGTTTTTAATCCTACTTATAAAGGATGGCCTCGCGAAAGAGCGATATTTATAAATATAAACATGAATATGAACAATATTTGCGCTATTTATTTACTCATATAGATTGTCGCATTGCTATTATTACTGATATTGGTAGAAGTGGTAATGACTGTGATTATATTACTGTAACCACTCATTGGATTGATGAGGAATGTAAAATACAAAAGTGCATTATTGCTTATAGAATAATCAATTCACGTCACACATGTAAGTTTATTGCTAACACAGTTGCAGATATTTGTAGATATTTTTGCATTACAGATAAAATAATATCAGTTTCAATGGATGATGCTTCTAGTAACACTAATGCTATAGGCTTGCTTACAACTACACTAAATCCTGTATTTAGTGATATTTTCCATGTTAGATGTATTTGTCATATTTACCATTTAATCGTCGGTGATGGTATGAAAATTTTAAATGTGGATATTGAAAAGGTTAAAATGGCTCTTAATTTGCTTTTTTATTCAAACCGTAGAAGTAGACTTAGAGAATATTTTAAAAAATATGATGAATTTGACCTTAGAGAAAGAAAGGTTCCTAAAGCTTGTCCGACTAGATGGAGTTACATGTATGAAAGTTTAGTTGTTGCATATGGATATAGAAACCCAATAAACGCAACATTTAATGCTCGTGTTGGTGGTGATGGTGATGATGATGATGAGCACCTTACAAATCAGGATTGGACTAATGTTAAATTTCTTGTAGATTTTTTAGAATAATTTAATGTTGCTACAAATGAATTATCTGGGCAATATTATCCTACTATTTCTAACTGTTTAGTTTATATTGCAGCACTTGCAGATTTGTTTACTCAATTTTCAGAGGGTGGGGTAATTTATCAACTTGCTATTAATTTTATGAAAGATAAGCTTAAAAAATAATTTTTCCCTATCCCCCTATTTATGGTGTTGCTGCCATGTTAAATCCTACCATGAAATTAGGAGGTCCTCCTTCCTTTCCCTGTTTATACTACTTGCAATTTAAGCCTGTTGTTAGCTTAGGGAAGCATGTCCAATTGACTTAATTGCTTTACTTGCCCAAACTGCCTTGTTTGGATTATGTGTAACATGCTAGGTTAGAAGTACCTGTTTTACCTTAGTATGGAATTTGAATTGAATTGTGTATTTCTTCGTGTTGTTGCTGTGTGTTTACTTTGGGACTACGGGACAGTATCCCGGTAGATCCCCCTGCATATTTACTTTGGGACTACGGATTTGTATTTCGGTAGATCCTCCTGCACTTTTACATT